TATACATACATACATATACATACATACATATACATACATACATATACATACATACATATACATACATACATATACATACATACATATACATATACATATATATATATACATACATATACATATACATATATATATATATATATATATATATATATATATATATATATATATATATATATATATATATATATATATATATATATATATATATATAAAAATACCTGACCAGTCTATTATGTATGTAACAACAATCAAACATGTGCTCAAGGCTCATTTTACTTTGCCTAGAAATCAGGGTTTCTTATGACTAAAATACCATAAATTTTCGTCAACAATATAATAAATACCATTTATATTTGTCAATTTCGGTGTGGAAGGACTAATTCAACACAGAGAATGCAACATGAGGACATACGATACCATACTAGTGATTTACAACGTCATGGCAACGGCAAAACATTGAAAAAGACTGTCTAAAATTGATCAAAATACTTGCCTTGAACTCCAGACACAACACCCAATGCCAGTGTGAGATACTCTTCTTCGTCCGAAGACATTCCATCGTCACTAGCACTATCAGTTTTCAAAATAAGGCCAAGAACGTCTTGGCAATTGAGAGATGCCATTCTTACAATGTGAGGGGCCGAGCATTTAACTTTTGAAGGGCAGGGTGATTTCTAATACGATTGGGAATTTTTTTCTGGGATCGTTATGTTTTAAATTTTTTTTCCTATCCCATCACCATGTACGATTTTTTTTGCCACTCTCTTTCGCAGCATTTTTTTTTCAATAGCTTATACTATTTAGATACTTTGATTATAGTTAACGTTGAGTTTTCTAGCTTCATGCATTGCTATTAATAATACATATTGCTATGAGTTATAACGTTAACATTTGGTTCAGGGCCTCTTTTAAGGATGTGTAACTGGAGGGGACATATTTAGCGGGGGAGAGAAGAGAAGAGAAGAAGAAGTTTCAGTCGGCAAGTCTGTATCACTGCAGCATATATATGCATGGTTTAACTAATAAGTATACGTCATAGGGTAGCAGATCAGGCCATAGCTAAGATTGTGGGAATAGAATAATAGAATAGAATAATATAATTTGCACACACATTATAAATACAAGATACAACAATTTTCTACATTAAGTATTATAAAACAAAAAGAATTATGTGCATAGCCACCCGTAAGTAACCATAGGGGCTAATCGAGACAGGTGGCTATATTCCTCTGTTTATTAGTGCAGGTATTTTTTTGTTCAGAATAGCCCATCCTCGTACCATGCAGGGTCTTTTTGGGATAGCCTTGCAGGAAATCCCCCCCCGCCAAAATCACCCCCGTCAAAAGTTAAGAGCCGCCATCTGTAAATATCGACTGGAGGTATGCAAAATGAAAAAAATCAAAATCTTCAAACTTTGTCAGAATATAGGTCTAGGTAAACTATTACTAGAAATATAAATTTAAGTTCGATCAGATTTTTATTTTAGGCAAGCAGCTATTTTTTTAGTTTCACGTCTCTCAGACTACAATCATGGAAATTAATTCGTAGACTTTTCAAAAATTTCTCAATTTCCCCCCCTCCCCGTTTACAATGTTGGTTTGAGGTCCAATAACCATGGTTTGAACCAACATTGTGGTAGGGGAGGGGGGAGTTACTATTTCTAGCGATCATGGACGTTTGTATTAACTAAAAATAAAATGGCTTTACAAAATAGTCAGACAAGATGCGTTTTAAAAAAGTCTACGGATATTATTTCCATGATTGTAGTTTTACAGGACACATACCACAGGTCATTTACAAATCGCTTAAAAATTGAAATAAAGATTTATCACAAACATCTATTAACCATTTCAAAGAGGAAGTATTTCTATACAAATATACAATTTCCTTGTTCGTTTATCAAATTTGAGTTTAAAGTAAATATGTTAGCGATTTTTTATTTTTTACTTAATTTACCGATTGAATTTTTCGAGACCGAAAAATGGCTAAATTTAGAGTGGAAAATCGTTCATTGGGCCTCCGCTTTGACGTTTAAAGCCATATCCATGCGAAAGAGCAACGTTTCTTCTTCAATTTAGTAGAAAAATATTTTTGGGCTATTGAAACTACGGTTTTTAAGAACGCCAAACGCAAGTGGCCCTCGAAGCTAAAAATAGCTTTTCAAGTTACATTATCTAAATGCAATTAATCTATCACAATCGAAAGTAAAAATATTTAATCAACTTCCCGTGAAAATGATTTGCTTTATCTGAGGTCTAACTATATTCAATAACATTGTGTAGTGATTCTTAATAATTTTGCGTGAAATTAATCTTAAAGATGCTGTAAACTCCGTAATGTAAACAAATGCTTTGAGCCTTTGTTTAGATTTTGAACTGCTGTATTTTTATAACTAATATGCATGATATATAAACTGAATAATTAACACTTCTCGGGTTCGCTATGCTTGCAAATGATTATATATATAAACTCTACGTCTGAATTCAAAAAAGTTCGAAAGATGCAAAATTTGGGCAATGTTTATAGCTGTGGGTCCCCCTTTGTTACGAGCAAAATTAATGCGCAGAACGGACTTTAAATGACGATGCTGCTCGAATTGTACATTGTACGCCGATAAACTCACTATTCTTTATTATATGGACAATGGTGTTTTACTGGAAACTAAAACACTCATAGAACTCATATGCCACTACATCTGGGACCAAATGCTCGTATTTTCCGTATTTCACGCTTGCGAGTGATATACAAAGTTACGAACTATACGAAGTTCGAAAATTTCCCGCCATTTTCATTGTTGTTGTTTTGAAAGTACAAATGGTCTTTGGTTGGTATATAAAACGAAATTAACATTGGAAATAAAACAAAAACATTTAAAAGAGATCTTGAGATAAGTAAAATTTATCCCCGAGCCGACGGCGCGAAGCACCGTGCGAGGATACTAATTCCCCCCGGCTATTTACACCCGGGGAAACGAAAGCATTAGCGAAGTCTAAAGTTCATCAATGATCGTGGGCGTGGGTCACCAACGGTGTTCGAGTGTTGGGTGTGTGGTCATCCTCACTGATCTCAAAAATATGGCGGACTGTCATGAATAGCGGACACTGATTGGTCCAATTTAAAATTTGCATTATAACGACTGCATGCATGACGACAGCGAAATAGCGAACATTTCTTGATTTGATGATTGATAAATTTCTTGCAAATATATTTCATTTTTGCTCGCATTTCTGCAAGATTTCGTAAATTTCAAACGCATTTTCAGAAAGAAAGAAAGGGCGAAAGAATCGGCTAAAAGAAGGAAGCCTACGTTAACGAAGGTAAGTTTGTTTTAAATATTGATTTTATAATTGCTTTAAAACCCGACGGCCTTTGCGTATATGAAACAACTAAACAAGACAGCATATAACTATTTCAGTGTATCTTTAATATATCTTTATTTTATCTTTATTAATCTTTTGATTTCCTTTATTATTATATTGAATTTTTTAAATAAAAAAAGAAAAAAGTAAATTTATTTGCATGCGAGAATTTGAAATCATTTCATTGCAAACTCAAAGTTTATGGATAAAGCCATTTATCGATTTAATTAAAGGCAGTTTAGTTTTATAAAGAACACTTTAAAACGTTTTGCGAAGCGTTTGCGGTTGAATTTTACCTTAAATTGAAGCTTATATTACGTATAATAACATACCTAACATATATATGTTGGGAAATTGATAATTTTGTAATTAAAAGTGACAGTTTTAGGCGATTTTTCATTTGTAAGAATATTCTTAAAAAATTATCGTGTTGCCATGACAACTACTTTAAATACTTCATGTTCGGAAAATACAATGGTTTTGTCAGCAAGGCGAGGGTTTCTGCATGCATGTATTTTCTAGTGCTAGTTTTATGTTTGTACTATACTTTTTTAAAAATATGGCTTTTATACTGGACGTCTTTCGCCCGCTTATTTGCATGTGGTCACATGCCGTCTTTGTCACTCTGAATAAGTAGTATTTAAAACACGAGAAGGAGTGTTTTATCATATTTAAAAGGCGAGGCGCAGCCGAGCGTTTTAGATATGATAAAACGCGAATTTGAGTGTTTTGAATAGCTTAAAATACGACTACAAAAGAATGCTAATTAGGATGAACAATTATATAAGGGACGGACCATTAGAAAAGTGATGAGTCATCACTCATCACTTTTCTAATGATGAGTCATCACTCATCACTTTTCTAATGGGGGATTTTTAAGAGGCAATATTTTTTTTGTACACCTATAGAAGAAATGTATTTTTTTAGTGAAATTTATAGGCCCATCTTCCAAGCAAGGAATTTTTTTTGCACTATGCCTGGAAAGATTTTCCCCCCTAATTTTTTCCTGGGAATAATTTTTTTTGGTTTTTGCTCTCCCCCCCCATCACTTTTCTAATGGTCCATTCCTAATCATACTAATTAGGATGAACAATTATATAAAGAATACTGATGAAGATGAGTTTTATCAGATATAAAGTCACTCCTTGTGACCTATTATGGCTGACATGATTTGCCACAAGGTTTATGAATTTTTAATAAGTATTTTAAGTCCATATAATAAACAGAACATTACGCGGTTGCGAGTAGATATGGATTTATGTTTTTGTGTCAAAAACAATGCATATATAGCCGGTCTAGTTTAGATATGGCGTCGTGTATAGCACTGGTTAGCACTATTTTCCTTCCAGCAAACTGACCTGACGTCATTTTGTTCAATGGCTATGTTACTAACCCAAACCCTACCCCTACTCTAACCCATAACCCTAACCGAATTTATAAAAAAAAATCCAAAAAGAAACGACTTTAGAAAATCGATAGGGCGGTTGGCTGGATGGAAAATAGTGCTAACCATAAGTAACCCGTGACAGGCATAACAGCAAATTGAACCAGAATGATAAGAGATAACAAAGCCAAAGGTTTGCAGCTTGCCTCCTGCTCCGGTTACAATTTGTGATGTTACAAGAAAACGTACGTGACTGGGATGAGGAACAGGACTTTCCGCTCAATTAATACCTCAACCGTAAACTATTGCGATGAGATATGGATTTTATGTTCGAGTGGCAAAATCAATATCGCGAAGGAGTGAGATATTGTTTTTGACAAGAGAACATAAATCCATATCTACTCGCAACCGTTAATGTTCTGTTAATGCACCTATAATTTGCCCCCCCCCCCCTGGAGGATTTGACAACAAATTCTCACCCTGGAGACGGGTATTTAACAACAAATTGTGGCCTGAGAGACGGGCAATTGGCAAAGTTGTGTTTTGGACATCTCGGCGGGAGACATGGGGCGGGCAACGTTATCTCGACGTTTCACGACTTCATGCTGGACATTTTTCAAAATAAGTCGTTTCCAATATGGATAACAGTTCAAGTGCTGAAATAGAGATATTTTTAAGGAAACAAACCTTTCAGATGTGGGAGAGATATTCAAAAGTTAGGTTTTCTTACCCTTTAATTAGAACATGTTTTCATTGACATTGTGTGTGACACAATATTTTTTATCGCGTACGACTAAGGGGAAGCCTCACATATCGATTTTTTCCACAAGAAACGTCAGATGTTCGTTTGGGGAGGGGGGTTTGCAGCTGTGACGTTTCTCTGTAAACATCACGGAAAAATTCGATAGTTTTTTCGAAAGCTTTAACATTTCGGAATCATCTTTTCAGAATATAAAAAAGAAAACAACTTGATACAAACTCCAGTCTATACATTAGTAATACCATACCTGTTCTATTTATATACATTTACATTATTACGCCTTCCTTGCATTGAAAACACTCAAATTTGAAGAAAAAATGTTGTTTTGAGAAACGTTGGAATATATATATATATTAATAAAAAAAAAGATATGTCAGCAGAAGGTGATAATTATATATTCCTCGCAGAAGCATCGCCAATAGCCGACCGTAGAAAATAGTAGGAAATTACCTTATGTGTACTATAACAACAAAATATCGATAACTATGTGTGACGTTTCTAAACGTGGGGTGAGGGGCGGGTCTCCAGAGAAACGTCCATATGACGTTTCTCATGGACAAAATCGATATGTGAGGCTTCCCTATAAATGTTTCGAATTATATGGCCGGACCATGTAAATACCATGTAATTGTTAACAACTCCTACCCTTCCCGCGAGTATTTTGACTCAGTCCTGTTCCATGGGTGGGGAATTTGACAACAAATTTACAAAATGTCAAATACCCGTGGGTTTGCCCGCCCTTCAGCGGGTGGTGGAAACAAATGATCGGATGTACAATAATATGGAGTTACTCAGAGTGGCAAAAATACACGCAAGTTCAAGTTCAATTTATTTCACACTATTTTGCAAAAATATTACATTGGAAGAGATACTCATGCATAATGTATATTCGGTAAAAGACATTAATTAAAAAGTTTTAAATTATGATATTGAGATTGTGCACGGTGACCAAAGTAGCATGCAAAGACGACATGTAAATATTAAAGCGCGCGAAAGACCTGCAGTACGCATAAAACCGATATTTTTTTTAATTATTGTGCAAACATAAAACTGGAATAAATTTACTTATCTCAAGATGTCTTTTAAATGTTTTCGTTTTTATTTCGAAAGTTAATTTCGTTTTATATAACGAAAGACTATTTGTATTTTCAAAACAACAACAATGAAAATGGCGGGAAATTTTCGAACTTCCGGACATCCACTATTTCTAAATTTTTCTAAAGGCTACCTTGCCGTTTGAAAGCGTCACCAAAAATTAGACTACGTTCACACTACGCGCAAGCGAACTAATCCGGGCAAAATTTACGTGTGTTCAGACTAAGCCATTACAGTTTGTTTACAAATTGAATTAGCACTCGTGTAAACCCAAAATATTTCAAATAGACCCAAGAAATTTAACTGAAAAGCATTCGAGTTTACACGTTTGTGTTCACACGAAGCTATCTATCAAGCGCTCCGTGTGATAGTTAACTAATTATACGCTCCGTGTGATAGTTAAGTGACGTGAAAGTTTTCAAACGATTTCACTCCAGCGTAGAGTGAATTAGCGATGGCTTATTGTGACTTTTCTACTCTGTTTTCAAATAGCTCCGGCGTGGCAGAACACTTGGCGGCTTCTTGTGCCACTTGCGAACACAAACACGCGGCAGGTTTTGTCGGATAATTTGCAGAAATTCACTTCGAAATTCGTTCAAGTAAAATTCGGACTGAAATTCGATGTAACTTGCGACTGATTGACACGCGTTGCTGTGTTTACTTACATGTTAATGCATTTTTTAGTATTACTGCATTCCTTAAAGGAGATTGGCAACAAAAATTGCTTCATCTATCTTATTGCTTCATCTGAAAGAGCATGAAAAAATAAGCCGATTGGCCGTTTAATGCTCTATTCTATCTCATCTAGTTCCGAAGTTATACGCAAAAATGTGAAAATATAAATTGCTGATTCAGCACAACGTGTGACGTCATTAGCTGGGTAAGTATGTTTATTGAATACTACACTGAAGCATAGCTCAGTTATTATGGGCCCAAATCAAATGAAATTTTGCAGACTGATTGTACATGATGAGACGCATGGAAAAACACTTCTAATTTTGTTGCCAATGTAACAATGTCGTTTCCAGGCCCCTTGCGCCAATTTTATGAAACAGCTTTATTCAAGGTACTGATAAGAATAAAATAATATCAGAAGTATGTGTATGATACCTATGCATGCCAAAAGTTTACTTGCATGATAATAATTCGAAAATGACATACACATAGATAAATGCAACTAGTTATTCAAAATCAGTGTAAGAGGCCTGGGAACGACTGTGTTGCCTTGACAACGAAATTAGAAGTATTTTTCCCATGCATCTCATCATGTACTATCTGTATGCAAAATTTCATTTGATTTGAGCTAATAATAACTCAGCTATGCTTTAGTTTACTATTCAATAAACATACTTACCCAGCTTATGACATCACAGAATGTGCTGAATCAGCAATTTATATTTTGCACATTTTTGCGTATAACTTCGGAACCAGATGAGATAGAATAGAGCAGTAAACGGCCAATCGGCTTATTTTTTCATGCTCCTTCAGATGAAGCAATAAAATCAATAAAAAATTTTGTTGCCAATACCCTTTAATTAACCTCGCCCTTAATATGAAAGCCATTTCTATTTTCTAGACACGCACCTCGTAAGGAAGCTTTATTGACTATATACTAAAACAAATTGTTTTGAGTTCAGTTCAGTTCACATAGCAGTCTCTTAATTCGAGCAACAGTTTAATAACTATTATTTTTAACACTTGAATAATTCAAACTTATATATACGAACGAAAACTGCAAAACTTTACTTTTATATAAATAAAGCGTGTCAATTTTCGACTCATTCTCAACATGCAGGATACGCTGTTACAGCGAGTTAGTTTTTGGTGGTGATGCATGCAAAAGTGGGCCGCTTATTTTGCTTACGAGTTACGTGGACGTATAATTATTGCTGTTACATAAACGTTCCGGTGTTCAAGAGCTACATATAGCCGATAAAAATTGCGTGCTCATTATAATCGCCGATCACATAGCTTTATCACAGTCTCAAACCTTCAGACAAACATATCCACATCCCTCTCCCCCCCTTCGGACATCCTAAGACATTTTTCCTCTTCCCCCCTTCGGACATCCTAAGACATTTTTCCTCCCTCCCCCTTCGGACAGCAAAAATTTCCTCCGTGGG